AAACTCACCTGAGGTCCCTTCCATGGGGTCATGGTCTTGGATACTGCGTTGGGAGGCTTGGGAGGGTACTTCACTCAGGCTGAGAAAAAGATCCTGGCTGTTGGGGAGAACAGAGTGCTGTGTGCTCTCCGCAAGCTCATCGTCGTCCTCCTCCTCTTCCTCTTCCCCATCCACAGAATCCTCAGGTCTGGCTGAGATTACCCCCACCTCGGAATCCACGGTCAGAGGTGGGGTAGTGGTGGCTGCCCCCCCTAGAATTGCATGCAGCTCAGCGCAGAAGCGGCACGTCTGCGGCTCTGATCCGGAACGACCGTTCGCCTCCTTTGTTTTTTGATAGGCTTGTCTGAGCTCCTTAACTTTCATGCGGCACTGATCTGAGTCCCTATTGTGGCCTCTCTCCATCATGCCCTTGGAGATTTTTTCAAAAGTTTTGGCATTTCGTCTTTTCAAACGTAGTTCGGCTCGCACTGAATCCTCTCCCCATATAGCGATCAGATCCAGTACCTCCCGTACGGTCCATGCTGGTGCTCTTTTTCGATTATCGGACTGAATGGTTACCTGTGCTGATGAGCTCTCTGTGGTCACCTGTGCTCTCCACGCTGGGCAAACAGGAAATAAAATTCAAAAGTTCGCAGGGCTTTTCCTGTCTACCTGGCCAGTGCATCCGAGTTCAGATTGCTGTCCAGAGCGGTCACAATAGTGCACTGTGGGATAGCTCCTGGAGGTCAATATCGTCGAATTGCGGCCACACTAACCCTAATTTGAAATGGCAATATCGATTTTGGTGCTACTTCCCTCATCGGGGAGGAGTACAGAAATCGATTTTAAGAGCCCTTTATTTCGAAATAAATGGCTTCGTTGTGTGGATGGGTGCAGGGCTAATTTGATTTAACGCTGATAAATTCGAATTAAACTCATAGTGTAGCCCAGGCCTTTAACTTATCACTAAGGCTATGATTTTTACTCTGTGGTCGTGGAAATCATGGAATCCAGCTCTTCCAGCGACCTCTATGACTTCAGCCTGCCTTGGCCAGGAGCTGCGGGGTACCCTCACTGCCTGTTGGTGGTATCCTGGAGCTCACAGGCGGCAGGAGTATCCTGGAGCTCCGAGCAGGTGCCCGCACCTGCCTAGCTGAGCTCCCATTTTCTCATGGATATTTTTAGTAAAAGTTACGGACAGGTCACAGGCTTCAGTGAATTTTTCTTTATAGCCCGTGACCTGTCCGTGACTTTTCCTAAAAATATCCGTGACAAAATCTTAACCTTACCTATCACAGATCGTTTTTTAAATGTATCTGTTCCTGTTCAAAGGTTTAGCATGCACCACGATATTAGGTCAGCGTTTCTCAAACTGGGGTCTGTGGACCCATGGGGGGACCCCAAGGGTACTCCAGGGGGGCCCCGGGCCCTGCTGATCAACTCCTCCCAGTCCCTGTGCCTCCTTCACAGTTTAAAAGAGGCACTGGGAGGGAGGGGGAGGAGCGGAGACCCTGGGTCTGTGCCACTCCCGGAAGCGGTTAGCATGTCCTTGAGGCCTGAGGGGAGGGGGTGAGACAGGGGGTCTTTGTGCACAGCCCCCATCTCGAGCGCCGATTCTGCAGCTCACATTGGCTTGGAACTTCAGCCAACAGGAGTTGCGGGGGCAGTGCCTGCGGGCAGGGGCAGCGCGTGGAGACCCCTTGGCTCCCTGCCTAGAAGTCAGTGCCAAAGAGATGTGCCAGTCATTTTTGGGAGCTGCCTGAGGTAAGCACAGCTCCCCTCACCCCTTCCCGCACCTCAACGCCCTGCCCCAGCCCAGAGTCCGCACCCAAACTCCCCCCCAAAGCCTGCACCCCCTCCTGCACCCTACCTCCCTGCCCCAGCCCTGAGCCCCCTCCAGCACCCAAACTCCCTCCCACACCCAAACTCCCTCCCAGGACCCGCAACCCCTCCTGCACCCAAATTCCCAGCCCCAAAGCCCACAGCGCGCTCCCTTCAGCACCCAAACTCCCAGCCCAGAGCCCACACCCCTCACTCCCTGCCGCACCCAAACTCCATCTCAGAGCCCGCACCCCCTCCTCCACCCTAGCTCCCTGCCTCAGCCTGGTGAAAGTGAGTGAGAGGGGCGGAGAGTGAGAGACAGAGCGAGGGGGGATGGAGTGAGCAGAGGCATGGCCTCGGGGAAGGGGTGGGTCAAGGGCTGGAAGGAGGGTTGGGGGTCCCCAACATTTTTAAAATCAAAATGGGGGTCCTTGGGTTGCTAAAGTTTGAGAACCGCTGATCTAGGTACAGGGCGCTGAAACAGGAGGACCAGTTTGGGCTATGGATCTCCCACTTTTGAAAGTGGGAGAGCCTGGCCCGTCCACATTTCAGGACAGGCCCTAGCCCCTTTCTCCTCCTCTTCCACCCAAGGCCCCACCCCCTGACCAGGCTGGAAGCTGGAGCCAGGCCAAGGTAAGAGCCGCCTGGGGAGCCCGGGCAGCTGTGGGGAGCCCTAGATCCTCCATCCAATCTGCGGGGCCCAAGAGCAGCCCCTGACCCATGTTCCCACCCACTGGGGTGCAATGCCCAGGACAGGTGTAAGGTACGGGGCTCCCCACAGTGGCCTGGGCCCCCTCGGCAGCTCTTACCTCGGCCCGGCTGCTGCTCTTCGGCCCCCTGAGTCCCCACTCCCGCCAGAGCTAGGCTGAGGTAAGAGCTGCCCGGGGAGCCCCAGACCCTCCATCTACCATGGGCGGGGACATTGGTCATGGGCTGCTCTCGGGCTTCCCGCCCAGAGCAGGTGGAGGGTCTGGGGCTCCCCACAGCAGACTGGGTGGCTGTTACTCCGGCCAGGCTCTGACTTCTGGCCTGGCTAGGGGGCGGGGCCTCAGGGGAAAGAGGGAGCAGGGGTGGGGCCACATCCCCCTTTTAAGAAGGATCCAGCGCCCTTGGATAGGTATAATAAATATGCAATGTAACATCTTATCCAGAAGCCTCTCAAATGTGTCTGGTGCATTACACAAGTCAAAAGCCATAATTTTAAATTGTCACAGGCCTTGTCCTGGTGTGAAAGCAGTCTTTTCCCTGTGCCTTGGATCCACTTCCACTTACCAGTATCACTTTTAATATCCAGTGTGGAAAACCAGACTGAACCTGCTACAGCATCCAAGGTCTCATCCATTCACTGTAATTGATAAAGAATACTTCATTTAGTTTTCTATAGTCCATGCAGAATCTAGTGCTGCCATCTCTTTCTTAACCAGAACTATGGGTAAGGCCCAAGGACTAGTTGAAGGTTCAGTTATGCCTTCCTGATAAATTTCTACAGTGGCTGGTAAAGCCCTTTCCCTCTTTGCAATTGGTTAACAGTGAGGTGGCTGTTTAATGGGCTCGTTTCCCCCAGTACACTAGTGCAGTACACCCTATATCTCTGCTGAATAGGGAGAGCAACTCCTGATTCCTAACCAGAAAGTCTCTTACAGTGTTTTGCTGCAACCAGGGAACCCCTGATCCTAGGCAACTTAACTTCTCATCAAGCTTTGTCATGCGGAACATTGCCTTGGGCAGTGGCTTCTATTGTTTTCAGCCATGTCATTAGTTAAGGGGCTTAACTGTTCCTTTATTTAGCCAGAACAGAGGGTAGCTAGCACACCCACTGACTTTAACCAGGTCTGTGATTTGTTGATCAAAGACCTGCTCAATGGAAGCCATTAGCACCTTCCTTCATTACAGTATGTTTTCATTTTAACTATTTGCTAATATTGTTCTTGAAATTATCCCAGCAGATACATTCTTTATTTTTCTGTACTCAAAAACATTTTAATAGTTTGTGTTTTCTTATGAATCCTTCATCAGTTATATAAAATGTTGACAAAGTACTTTGTCAATTTAATTGTTAAATATCCCATTGCTAGTTAGCAAATAAAAATGATAAGGCTTTGCATCACAATCATTAAGACTATATTTTAAAGATGTAACCAGAAAAACAAAACAATTTATGGCAGCATGTAGATTAACTAAAGTTTGCTGAATGCTGACTAGCCTGGTCATCTACCAAAAAAAAGTATTAAACCCCAATCCTGAAAGTGAGGGAACACTGTTGCATTCTTGTAGATCCCTGTTGACTTCACTGAAATACATGACATCTGTAGGTGTTCAGTACCTATGAAAATTTAGCTAACAGTTATTTCTATTATTGTAGTGCTTACAGTGCAGTGCTAGGAACTGTCCAGATATAAAGTAACAGAATGTCCTTCCTTTAAGAGCTCATAAGCTAAGAACAGCGGCAGCTCCAGGCACCAGCGCTCCAAGCGCGTGCCTGGGGCGGCAAGTCAC